CTGCGTATCGTAGAGACTGTTGATGATTTTAAGTCCCAACTAAAGACACATTTGTTTGGAGAGGCTTTCTCGCACCATTGTTCATAGGCCTCTGTGAATGTAAATTGTGTTTTCTGTGTTTGTTTTATTTGACTTGTATGTGTATTTTGTATTTTAATGTGTGAAGCGCTTTGTGACCCTGGTCTGTGAAAGGCGCTATAAACTTTACTTACTTACTTACTTACTTACAGCGGTGGGGATAAAGGCCCTGCGGTAGCGCTCCTTCTTACACTGAGGGTGTCTCAGTCTTCCACTGAAGGAGCTCCTCAGCTCCTCTACAGTCCTGTGCAGTGGGTGGGAGGTGTTGTTCATGATGGAGGTAGCTTTGACTAGCACCCTCCTGTCCCTCACCTCCTCCACAGAGTCCAGGGGGCAGCCCAGAGTGGAGCTGGCCCTCCTGACCAGCTTGTTCAGTCTGCTTCTGTCCCGCTCTGTGCTGCCCGGGGCCCAGCCCACGGCAGCGTACTAAATGGCTGAGGCTACCACAGAGACATAAAAAGTCCTGAGCAGAGGCCTGCTCACTCCGAAGGACCTCAGCCTCCTCAGAAGGAAGAGGCGACTTTGGCCCTTCTTGTACAGGGCGTTATTGTTATGGGACCAGTCCAGTTTATTGTTAATGTGAACACCCAGGTACTTGAAGCTGTCCACCAGCTCAATGTCCTCCCCCTGGATGTTCAGCAGTGTGTGGGAAAGTGGTTTTCTCCTGAAATCGATGACCATCTCCTTGGTCTTACTGGTGTTCAAGCACAAGTGGTTGCGCTCACACCAGTCGACAAAGTCTGTGATAACCGACCGATATTCCAGATCGTTCCCCTCAGACACACAGCCCACGATGGCGGAATCGTCGGAGAACTTCTGCAGGTGACAGCTGTGTGTGTCGTGTGTGAAGTCTGAAGTGTAGATGGTGAAGAGAAACGGTGAGAGGACAGTGCCCTGAGGGGCCCCAGTGCTGCAGACTACCACCTCAGACTCACAGCTGTGCTGCCGCACGTACTGTGGTCGGTCTGAGAGGTAGTCTATGGTCCATGCAGTGAGGCTACCGTCCACTCCCGCGTCCTCCATCTTCCCCCGCAGCAGTGCCGGCCTGATGGTGTTGAAAGCGCTGGAGAAGTAAAAAAAACATGACCCTCACAGCGCTCCCGGCAGGCTCCACGTGGGAGAGTGTCCGCTGCAGGAAGTAGATGACGGCGTCCTCTACTCCGATGTTGGGCCTGTAGGCGAACTGCAGCGGGTCCAGGGTGGGGCTCATCACGGAGGGGAGATGGGTGAGGATGAGCCGCTCCATGGTCTTCCTCAAGTCAGGTCAGTCCGACTGGTCTGTAGTGAGCCGGTTCCTTGGCGTGCGCTGTTTTAGGAACCGGGATCACACAGGAGGTCTTCCACAGGACAGGGACCTTCTCCAGGCTGAGGCTCAGGTTGTACATATAGCTGAGGACCCCAGAGAGCTGGTCTGCACAGGTCCTCAGAAGCCTGGGACGGATCCCGTCCGGTCCTGCGGATTTCCTCAAGCAGTCTCACTTCGCTGAGACTGCACCGCCCATAGAGACTGGAGATTCTTATCCATGCATTTGTCTCCAGTAGGTTAGACTACTGCAATGGCCTGCTCACAGGTCTGTCCAAACAGGCTGTAAAACAGCTGCAGTACATTCAAAATGCAGCAGCTCGAGTCCTGACTAGAACCAGGAAGTACGACCACATTAGTCCAGTTCTCAGGTCTCTGCACTGGCTTCCTGTGGCTCAGAGAATAGACTTTAAAACAGCTCTGCTTGTGTACAAGTCTCTCCATGGCCTCGCACCAAAATATATTAGTGACATGTTAGTCCCATATGAACCAGCCCGGACTCTGAGGAGCACAGGGACTGGACTCCTGTTAGTGCCCAGAGTCAGAACTAAACATGGGGAGGCTGCTTTTCAGATTCATGCTGCTAAAATCTGGAACAGTCTTCCTGAAGATGTGAGACAGGCCTCCTGTCTGACAATGTTTAAAACCAGGTTAAAGACAGTTCTGTTTAACTGTGCATACAACTGAGGGATTTTATATTTCTATCTTTCTTTTTAATGTTCTGTGATTATTTATGATTTTAATGCTTTCTTGTTTTGTTCAGCACTTTGAATTGCCTTGTGTATGAATTGTGCTATATAAATAAACTTGCCTTGCCTTAAACATAATTAGTAAAGTCAGAAATAGGCAATTATTTGAGGAAACATATTTTTTCCCATTTCAGCATTATATAAATTTCACAGTAACTGAAATATGAAGTGCAGGGTGTGCAGGGTTTAGCTTTAAATTTGGACAAACAAAATTGATTGACCTGAGAAATTATTCATTGGAAAATTGATGGGGTGAACACATCGTATTTCAGCCATAATCCAGAGTCCGGGAAACTAACCTTGACTAGAGCATGTAACCCTGTCTCCTCTGCCACAGGGACTAATTTGGTCCACAAGAGAACTGTCACATAAGCATGTATACTCATTAATATTTCAACATTAACTCTGGCTCAAATGTACACATAGGCTACATGTCTTCAGAACTGTCCAATGACCCAAGAGGAATGATGCATGATGCCCTTAGACTGTAAAAAATATGTTAGGATAATAAAACGGTGTCTCTTCACTCTCGCTGCTGGCGTTTAGTTGAAAGTTGTCAGTGTTTCCAGTCGCCCGCTACTGTAGACACCACTGTAACATTATTCCAGGGTTTAATCATCCAGCGAGACGAGGTGGAATAGTGAAACCAGACAACTCAAACAGAGGTCAGGGATCAATGACTATCCATGTTAAATTGATCTGGTCTAATTTCACCACATATCCATAACAGCAATGTTGGATGCAATTTTAAGTATATTAATAAGCAACAGATTTTTATAAATGAATAATAACATTGTGTTTTTGCCAAACAGGGAGAGTCTGATAAATGTACAATTGTGTAAATCAGCCCAAACAGTAGAAAACATGTTATGTGTTTTGTGTACTCGTAAGAAAGAGCCTTGTAAGTCACTATTTGATGCTTTGGGTTGAGTAAGGTTGGTTCTATCTTTTTCCTTTTTCCGTCTGAAAAATCTGATGTAAGGATGTGATCGAGGCTGAAAATACATGCATGTGAACACTAGTGATAGAACCAAACTAGACCCAGGAACTACATGAATGTTTAAAAGGTAAATTGTCTTGTGGTTTGAAAGTTATTTAGTTAGCTCTAATTACTACACATTTTATTTCAGAAACAAAGGTAAGCAATGTATATTTTCTGAAATCAGGAAGCACATTCATCTAGTTATTTTTCAGCGGGTATTGTTGAGAAATGAAGAAAAGGCAGCGGTGATTGCGCTCGCATACGGTTTATTTTTGAGTCCCTTCAGATCGAACAAGAGGAGACGAGGCTTTTTAAATGATTTTTGCCAATGTGCATCTGAACAGAATATGTCATCACTTATAATACATTATAATAAATAGATTTAAATGACTCATGCTTAAGATATAGATACAGCACCTTCAGATATCAATGGTTAGCAAAAGTAACAGATATAACAGGGATCCACAGTACAAAAAATGCAAGTCAGGTCACACAGTATGTCAAAGTTCAGTATGACATTCAAACAATGTCATTCTGTAAAGACTGAAAACACGGTCGCAGTAATTTGGCTCTCTTTTTCCATCTGTGACTTGGACTGGCTCCATTTGGAATGAAAAAAATAATTAATGCATGTCTTCATTGAAATAGGTATAGGTCATTGGGGATCAAACACTGACATTGTCGTTTGAAGTGAAATGACTTCTGTCTGTGTTTGTGAGTAAAAGCAGTCCTCTTCAGGTGAAACTTGTCTGGTTCATCACATTTTGACCTTTTAGTCTAAACATAGCTTCTCTTTGAGCAGTGCGTGTCAGTCACACCTCGCTTTTTCTTGTCTCAGCCATCCTACATCTTGTTTGTAAGAGAGCTGTGTTTATGTTCCATTGCAACCTCCTACTCATTTGCATGTATCTCTGAGTAGGATTAATAACATTGTTTTGCATTATCATTAACATTTTTGCACTATCAGCAGCACCAAAAAGCTGTATAAATTATAGATTCACAAACGTGTCCTTTTTACTTATTCAAAGCGTATGAAGACTTTCGACGACCAGTTTGGCAAATTGTTGAATATGATGTTACAATGTTGTTGCAGCTGTCAGAGTTGGTAAAGCTCTTCTGTGGGAAACATGACTTGAGGGAATATAGCGAAGGGATTCAGTAATTATCTTTGTTTTAACCCTTTAATCGCCAACGAGCAGAATTACTTGAGCTCCTGAATATAGCAAGCGTTTCACTATGATTTTCTTTCATCTGTTTCTATTCTGGACATCTTTGGTATTGGTCATCCTTCTCGCCTATGGACCCTTTGTAATTCTGTTATTATTGTTATAATAGTTTTATTTTCTAAACGGTTGCCAAATTTGTATGGTCCTTTGAGCGACTGCTGTTGTGATTTAGGGCAATACAAAAATAAATTGATTTGAGCTTGAATTTTTATTTCTGTTTTTTTTTAAGCAGGTGTGGAGCCTAGTTTAAGGACTACTTTCTGAGAACGTTTTGTGGCTTTGTCTGTTTCCACATCAAATTCCTGAAACATTGTGTCATGTAAAGGGTTAACGTCTGAGCAGTTTTGTAAAAAGAATGACAAAAAAACATTTATCCTTTTGTTGTAGTTTATGCTCCTATACTTCTGAACAGGGAGAATTCCTCCTATCCTGCTAATTTATTTAGTTTTTACCTGGATTTTGCTAGTTGTTAAAATGTGACTAAGATTAAAATAAATGTGTGCGATTTGACTTGTTTCCACTCACAGTACCTTCCCCTTTACTTTAAGTTTCCTACTTGCTGATAATGTTAAAGTAAAAGAGAGTAGTCTATTGACAGTAAACTCCATGGCTGGAGCTTGTGTAAACATGGGCTGTACGTAATCCTCTGTGTCTCGCTATAGGTGACCCAGCCTCCTCGTCTGGATCAGGGCCAGCTCTTGGGTGGCTTCGATGAGAAATCCTATCTCTCTGCTAAAACACTGAAGCCGGGGGACGACCCGTACAGAGAACATGCATTTAACCTGCAAGAGAGCGACCGTCTGGGCAGCGAGAGGGCCATTCGGGACACCAGGCACTACAGGTGAGGGACTGGGCTGGTGTGGACGTCATCCACGCTGGGATTAGGAATTAGGGAGATTAATCTGGACATGGAGGTGAAAAGTCAGAAGTCAAGATGGTGTCTGGCCGACGTAAAACACGTAAAAAACACGTAATAAACACACAAACAAATCATAATGCTTTGCTTCACCATTTAAGATTAGGACTAAATAAGTGAAAACATCAGAGAGGGACAGACTGGAGATGAAGTTAGAGAAATCAGATTGAGATATTTCTTTCCACAAGCACAGTGATGATTGTGTGTATGTGCTGAGCAGAGCCGTCAGTCTGCACACGGACATGCAAATACCACGGTTACTATATATAGGTCAGATTGTGAAACGGGGAAGTTTTTTGATAATCGGCTTTAGGTTGAATGATTAATGTAGTGGTAGTAGCAGCTGTGTTTTATTTATTCAAGCAAACATTTTTACATTCATACTGTTATGGCACAAAATGGGGACCCAAAAAGTGACTCAAGCGAAAACATACATTCATGTATATTTACAACTATGATTACAAATTTTCTGCAGCGCTTGTCACATCTTTAGATCAGCTTTTTCAGGCAGAAAGTGAATAAGAGAGGACTCAGCTCTCAGCCCAAAGCATCAAATGGGGAATTGCAGGACCTTTTTCAAATGAAAAACACAGCAAGTTGTGGTCTGATTTGTTCACAAATTGTTACTTCTACAACACTACTTTTTAAGTACCTCTAAGTAATTCTACAGCAAAGTGGCTTTGACCAAAACCTTGTGCAAACTGAAATGCTGGAGCTGACCGGTTGTCTCTGCTTCTGATGGGATGGTTAAACGCAGAGAACAAATGTCTCCAGGTTCTCCTGAACCTTCTCTACTGTAGTTTATAACCAGTGTCTTGGAATAGAAATGTGACATGTTTTGGGTAAAAGCTTGGGAGCTCCAGAAGGAGAATTGACTTAGGAGCCTAAGTCAATAATATTGAGCAGAGATGAAGGAAAGTAAGAAGAACAGACATGAAGATACCCTTAACAAAGACATACTTAGTCTATGTATACATGATAAAACAGGCATGAGGTTAAATAAAGAAAAGGGTCAGAATCAAATCCTCTGTTTCCAGGCAACCAGATATTTCTCTGTCTCTACGGTAACCGGGACCAGCTGTTCTCAACAAAGACTCAAATCTAGATTTAGCCGAGTCTGGACCAAGGGCATCGGGACCAGGTCTGACCAGAAGCAGAGCTCGACACTAGAATGAGAGACTCAAAACACAGAAACCTGCAATATTTGTCATCACCTCCGAGCTAAATGCCTCACAGCCTGCGTTCGCTGCATGACTTGGCTGCTGCCGTTATCCGTGTGAAGTCAAATGGTTCTTGTGAGAGACATCAGTTCATAAAATTGTGAAATCTATCTTCTCACAAGATTACCTGAACTGTCATGTACTTTTACAAAGCAACTTTCAAGTGTCATCCTATTACGATTACAACGTCTATATTTTGATGATGTTCTGTTCTCAGATGAAGGAACAGAGCATAAAGACATAAGTTAGACAAAGACATATAAGTGAAATTGTTGAAAATTTTGTTTTGGATTGTTATCAAGTACAATGTTAAAAAGTACAATCATTGATGCATTTTGCTGTTGTTAGAAAATAACTATTAAAACCAATTTTCTCCTTATGTGGATATTTTGAAATGAATCATTATTTTTCGAGGACACTTCCATTGAAATTCAGTCTGCTGATCCGGTTGTACAGTTTAAAAGGTAGAGAGAAAGATGAAGAGATCTTTTATTTGTCCCACAGTGTTGAATTTTTAGTGTTGCATCACCAGTTACAGAACAGTAGTATGAGGAGCACACAACACAGATACATAAACAACAACTCTTTTCTAGAATGGAATAAAATCTCCAACTTTTGCATAATAAAGAAGCAAGTAAAAAACCTTATCTTTAGCATAATAAAGAAACCAGTCTAACATCTCCAACTTTAGCATAATGAAGAAGCAAGAATCAAGTAGAGGAGATAATCTAGACACAGGAAGAACACATACTCCATACAGAGCCCTCACAGCCCTCCTCCAAACCAAATATCTTCTGTATTACAATCCTTGTGTGTTTCTGTCTTTTAGATGTGCTTCTATGAATTATGACGTGGACCTTCCCTCCACCAGCATCATCATCACTTTCCACAATGAGGCTCGCTCCACTCTGCTCCGCACCATCAAGAGGTAAGCAAATTCCCCATAGAATAGCATACGTACATACCATACATGTATTGATCACCTCACTTACCACTGGCCATACTACATCTTCAAAATCATCAAAACATTTTGGATCAAATGTATGAGATTTAGTTACTAGTCCAACTCATATTAGAATGTGAAGAAAATGACAAAAGAGGGGGAGGTCTGAGATTGTATCACAACTCTTGGTAAAGAGACACGACCATTGATTTGCCGCGTGCATGTGATTTTATACCAGAGGAATCAAGCTAACAGAGGGTTATGTTAGCTTCAAACTTCAGATTTTTTAAAACATCAAGTGGAAAATTACTGGCTTTTGCCTATTGTTGTAATGATGAGTTGATCTATCATCTTAGACTATAATTGCCTGAAAAGTTTCGTAAGAGATCCATAAAGGCCTTAGTAAACATTCTCCTTTGTAACTGCTCTGATGGAGGATCTGCCTCACGCTCTATAAAGCCTATACTTGATGTTATTTGGAATATTTGGTTGTTTGGAGGCAACCTTATGTTACCCTACGCTTCTATGTTTTTCATTTTTTTAAGCATTTATCCGTATTTTAATGAATGCAAAATAGTTATTGAAGAAAATGACGCGGGGGTCTGTGGACATGGTGTATACAGTAGGTGTTAAAACAGCAAGACCTGAGTTTTGCTGCGGGCATGTGAATTTATACAATAGAGGACTCCAACCACCTGCCACAGCACCAGTAGCTTCGGCTTTCAGATAATCAAAATCACCCAGTGCAGTCTTGCATACTGTTAATGATGAGTTCAACTTTAACCACAGTTGCTTAAAAGTGTTTTAAATATCACCATGGTATTTTCCTTCAGTGGTAGACCCCTCACAGCCCTTTAGAATATTACAGTTCTCTGTTTTAGTTTTTGATTGATTTGTTAGTTCTGCTCCACTGTTGCACAAACACAGGGTTTCTTCTGTTAATAACCACTCATTGATGCCCCCTGTCTCATTCCAGTGTCCTCACGCGGACCCCTTCGTCCCTGATCCAAGAAATAATCCTGATCGACGACTTCAGCACAGACCGTGAGTCGCTGCTGTTTTCTCTGATTCCAATTGACATGTTTGACTTTGTAATACAGCCTCGAGGGGCTTTGCTGGAAGTGTGTGGGCCACGCTGACACCGAAGCAAACTGATTGTGGTAATTGCGGGAAATGGGAATGAAACGCAAAAGCTAATGTTGACATGTGTTTCAGATAGGAACGCCTGGTTCTGAGAGTTTCAATCAGTGATCAGGAATATGTAGTTGCAACGAATGCTAAACTGCACTGCTGCAAAACCTCAACATTTCCAACTTTTCTTATTAATCTATTGAACTAGAGATGCAGTTAGACGGACTTTAAAAGGGCAGTATACGGTCTACCTTCTCCACACATGACCTTTCCACATTCACGCCTGTGGAGGTTAATTAGCAGCAGGAGTGCCGTGTTTGCTTTGATACATTAGATCACTGCTATTAAAATTATTATTTACTTATTGCTGCCAAGGGCCAACGTCATTGGATGTGGATAATTGTATGACACATCCCCACTTTGAAACAGCAAATACATCAAACACAATGTCAATATTTTATAAATAAATGCCACATCTTGGACAGGGCTACGACCAACTAGCTAACCAGGATGTAGGAAAAACTGAAGCAAAACAACATTTTTTTTATTTTTTTAACAAGGAGTCAGAAATGGTTAGAATTATTAATTTAAAATTTTTCATGTTTTAAGACTGACACAATGTACGAAAATCAAGATTTCCCAAAGAGACAAGCTTGAAATGTTTTGCCTGTCCCAAAAGAAATGCTCTTGAACCAGGATCCAAACCAGGATCCAAGAATTTCCTGCCTAATATTTGATCGCTTTTTGCAGTGAACACGGCCTTTCGACTGAGGGCCGGATTAGATGTTTCAGAGGGCCTGACTTAGCCCCACAGGCCTGCGAAAGACCATGCATTCCTTTGATTGAAGTCCTGTCACTATGCAGCCATTGATCATCAGTGGAACAGGATATGATGGCATCTTTTTAGGTTTTGGAATATTGCGCAGTGTTGGCTGGCCAGACAAGCTCACAGTTACATATTGAGTAATCCTATTTGCCAGCAGATGTTACATGTAAATGACCTCAGAGTCATTCCGCCTCAAGCCATTAGCAGCACATGCATCTTCTGTCTATAGTAAGCTGCGCACAGTGACCTACATAAACCTCCAGTCACTCAGCATACAGAGGTGTGGTGTCAGCAGCAGCGCGGGTTATTAGCTCAAGCCCTGTTCATTTGGGATTAAGTGTGTGTCTGTGTGTGCCCAGTGCCCACAAGTACTGGAAATCACATGGTGCCATACTTGCCTGTCACAATAGTACATTTAACTGGACAAAATAATGATACAGGAATGGATTGCAACAAATTATAATATTGAAATGACTTGAAATGTGCCACTGGTACAATTACAAAACAATAGGAGAATCCTCAGGCAAACGATAATCAGCATAATCCAGCGATAATTACAATAAAAGTGTTTTTGTATCACAAAGAAGAAAAGGACATATTGTTTTACTTTTGCAAAGAAAATGTATAGACAATGAATCATGATAAATATTAGTTATTAGACAGTCTATCAATAGTAATTGTTGTGACAGACCTTCATAGGGTCCCTTTAAAATGTGATGAATTTCGATCTTTAAAACATAAATAATACTTGCACAACGTTATCGGGCTCAGAATTACTGCCAATTCTTATATTTTTGAATATTTTTTGTTTTGAGTTTCCTCCTTGTGGCAAAAATATACTTGAAATCCATGAAATCTGGTGATGTGCAACTATTTTGAGGGATAGAAAAAAGGTGTTTGGAAATATCATGTATCCAAAGTCAAAGCATAGATTTATACAATATAGATCTTAAAAACAGAGCAACAATTACATCCACATATTTAATGTTTTAAATCCAAAGTGGAATGACTAAATAAATGAACTGAACTGTGACAATTTGATATGAACATTATGTAAATGTGTAGTATTTGTGTGGACCCAATCTTGTTTTCCACTTAAAAAGAAGTTCAATGTAGATTAAATGAATTCAATCAAATCAATTAAAAACAATAACACATGAATCATATTTTTCACCACATTTCTCCTTAGTCACTCTGTGTTTGTATATGTTACTGTAGGCAAAAATACAAAAAAGTAGAACAAACACTCACAAGCTGACTGAGTACACAAAACTGTCACATGGTATAATGATAGAGAAGTTGAGTCTGAACCAGAGCTTTGAGGACAGGATGATAAGTGAATATGAAACAGGTGTAAATGCCTCTCAGCAGAGGAACCAGCCCCCTCCTGTCACGTTCAGGGTCTGAAAAACAGAAAGGGAGGGGGGAGGCAGACCATTAACAATATGTTCATTATTTTCAGATTCATACGAGAAAATTAATAGATAGATAATTTTTCTTGCAGCACTTGCAAGGTCACATTCCACACCAGCACAAACAATAGAATAAGTAGGCAGTTATAAGGCATTTATGAGCCTCTTGTTTTTATCATCTTCATAGTCTGTAGTTTCTCTTAAACCACTATTGTGTCTCTGGTGGAGTTTATTGGGGCAGTATGAGTGAAGTTTACATTGGGGGCGTGAGGAGGGGTCTAATCCTGTTAAGACTGTTCAGGATTGCCTTCATCACCAGCCTCTGTTCTCTGTCGGGACCGCACCCCAGTGGGTCGTCCCAGCTCTATGGGCCTCCAACAATGGGGAAACAGATGACCCCACTCATTTTTGACAACTCCTATCTGGAAAATGGATGGGTGTTATTGTGGTATGAAGTAATTGCACTCAAGAATGTACCATATACAACAGCAATGCTTTTTTCCCCATGTGTGGTCAAAGTATGTCCTCTTGGCTTAAAACTCTGCTTATTGCTTCAAGGTTTAACTAGATGCAGTTATTGATATTTAAATCATCATCAGCAATTCAAGCATTAAATGACAATAACAAAAAATGTTGTCATAAGGGACTTGACGTACATTTTTCCATTGTGAGATTATATTAATTTATCTTAGAAAAAATATTATGCAAAATCAACTTTCACTGCATTTTAAACCGTGTTATTTTTCCTCTCAAAGTTGCATTACGTGTTAGGGTTTCGTTAAAATCTAAATAAAATTGTGAGCAGGGCATGGCATTTTGTTGTGCTGTGCTATTTTGGTGAAAATGTCCTTCTGCACGGCTGTGAGTGAGTGACCTGTGGAAATAAGAAATGACAGTGATGGGTGAACTTTCTGAAGAAGCAGATAACTTAGTTTGCAATCTGTGACAAAATCCATTAATTGTGATCAGGCTGTAAAAGGGTAATTCTTTCCATATTAGAATGATTCTTCTTCTCCTTTATTCCTTTATAAGAACCCCTTTCCATTACAGTATGTTTGAGTACTCCTACACAGACTTATCACTGAAATGCCATGAAATCTATCTATCCCCAACAGAGCAATTGTTTTTCTTAAAAAGCAAAAACCTATGAATCACACAATCTGCTTCTCTGTTCAACATCTGTTTGGTGGGAGCGACCTTTCACACACACACACACACACACACACACATACACACACATACACTGCAGCTGCCCCATCCTTCTCCCAGGGCAGGACTCCACACTCCCACACCTGTCTCGCTCCACACACCAGTTTGCGCTTGACACATATTTGCTCTAAGAGGATTACATCTCCTCCCTGCTCTTCTCTGCGTCCTGGGTCTATATCGCTGTCGAGGGCGTGGCCTGCACAATCTCCCACAATCCCTCAGCTCGATCACTCTCTCCGCAGATAATCCTGAAGTGTTTTACTGACCATGGATGGCCGCGAGTGACACTGTACACCCAATAGATTTGTGCAGCGAAGAGGAGATAATAGAGCCCCATTATCTATTATTCCACCACAGATAATTAAGCTTCCCAATTAGCTTCAGTACAGATAAGGCTTTAGTTTAAACCTAATAGTTGAATTATTATGAGGCAAAGTTACGAGAAGCTTCACAAAATGTTGTTCCAAATCGTCTTGAGTGAATGGGTGTAGGAAGTCTTTATATTATTAATACATAGGAATTATAATCAACACTGCCAACACTGCAAAAAATGATAAAATATGAGGTAATTATGGGACAAAGCCATTTAGTCTTATTTCAAGAGCTTTAGTTTTATTTTCTCTTTCTAAGGGAGACATTTGAGTTGGATGTTTGAGTGTTTATTTTTTTCAAGTTTAATGTACAATAAACATTAATTTTCAAACATTACTACATAGAACTTTCCAGAAAATTGTTAATTTACAATTACTTATGACAGCATTGTAATTGTACATCATTCAAACTCAAAAAGGAGTGGGAGGAAGAACAATCTCATAAATTTCCATCCCTGTGAACCCCTTGTATCTTTATAAAACAGGTAAATTTTTATTATTCCAGGGGCAAATCTTGTTTTAAGGCAGTCAAAGTGTGCTCAAATTAAGATACATTTTGCCAAATTTGAGCCATTGTTTTCTTTTTGCAGAGAATATCTTTCCCTTTGCAACTAGTTTACTGCAGACTGACAAGTGGGCGCTCCATAAAGCCTCTTCTGCCCTAGCACAGATTTTGCTCTAGTATATATGAAAAGGCACATGAAGGAGGGGTGACAGAACCGGTAACTCTGCCTAAGCACAAAACATTACAAGGAAGCATCTACTCCATGATTAGTATAAAAACACATTAAAATCACATTTCTTAGCTTGATGAAATAAAAGATACTCGTATATACATGGTTCCATCTTAATCAATGTGTTCTTGTGTTTTTAAAATTCACAACAAAAACAGTATATCTGTTATTTCATACTTTGGAATTGTGTTGATTGATTGCTAAAGCCTCCTAGCTTGCAGGCTATTCATTTATTAAGTATACTCCATGTCCTCATACACTTTGTAAATATGGTCATGCTTGATATTTATTCAAATTCAAGGTGTTTGGAAAATTCAGTCACCTGCTTATAATTAGAGTATATATAGTTACTGGAGACAGCAGCATCACCTCTACCCAGACTTGTCATTTTTGGTGTCACATGTTTCAAGGACACATACTGAGAAAAAAAATCTTGGCAAAGCCAGTGGATACTTTTATGTTTTTCTCCAAGAAAACCACCACAAAAACTTCCCAAAAAATCTCTTGTGCTTTCATTCTCAAATTTGGACAGATTTTGTTTATGGCAGCATGTTGTATCAAAGTGACTATAGTTTACCATCACATAATTCAAGTTTCCATCTGACCAAAGCCAGTACACTGAGAAGGGTTGGCGCCCATTTCCGCTGGTTGTGATTATATTTGTTTAACTTAACGCTGTGTTCGTGGCCGTGTGACTGACAGAGAGCACTGAGATGAACCACATTGTTGCTTTGTGTGTGTTCTGTGTGCTGAGCTAACATCCTCCTCTTCATCACAGCGGACGACTGCCAGCTGCTTTCCCGGATCCCCAAAGTGCGCTGCCTACGAAATGGACGCAGAGAAGGTGAGTGTGATCACCCGATAGAGAAGACTTATAATGAAGACTTTGTTAATTATGAACAGTCTCATAAAAAAACTGCAGAGTGAGAACTCCCACTGCTCCTCAGGTCTTCATTGTTCTCTGACACTAATGGATTGGTGGATCTCTGACCTAGTTGAAGGCTTATTGTCAAACCACAAATTTCCCCTCTGTGGGACAAATAAAGTATCTCCTATCTTAAGTATATATATTGTTGATATGTTTCAAAGCAGCTTGACATAAAACAATTAAAACACATCTATAGAGCCATTAATTTAAAGCTGGGGTAACATTCAAAGCACAAAAAAATAAGTTTTCACATGTAGGTATTTTTTGCCTCTGTCACATCTTAAAAGTAGCAATATGTAAGATTTTCAGGTCAAGTCATCATCAAATGTCCCTAATCTGTCAAAAGGCTTTAATAAAACATGCTCCTTTCTAATACTTCTTTAAATGATAACAGTAGTTCAGTTTGAATTTCAAAATTAGTTTTAAAGCCCTTATATCTTGTCATTGTTTTAATTTCAATGTCCTGCCCTCCATCGTTGTACAAACTTTGTGATTCGGGCGCCAGAACACCAAACAAGGAATATAACCAGGATTTCTATCTTTGTGAAAAAGGTGTTGGTTGCAGATTTGTTGTTGACAAAACTCATTATTCAGATATTACTTGCCCAGCTGGATTTGTCTGCATATCTGGCAACCTGAGTCAGGGAGAGTGCAGTGCCACTTTTGGTCAGATTTTCACATACTACTCCTTTGAATCAACTTTTTCAGACAGAAAAATAAAAAAGAGAGGACGATCCACACATCTCAGCCCAAATTTTACACCAGTGATTCACAGGGCTCTTGTTTTCTAATAAGGCACAATGTTGTGGTCAATTTGGTTCACAATATTTTACTTTTACCCCAGCTTTAAACTTCAAAGTAGGCGGACGCTCCACTGGTTAACTCTTGTTGTCTTCCTGTATCAGCATACATTTTTTTCATTTTGGAAAGATGTGAAAAGGCACTTATAAACTTGCATAGCTGAGCTGAATAGTTGAGGTGCTCTTGTTGACAATTTTAAGACAAATCACGAAGTTGTTTTCTTGCTTCCTACCAGTAATAAACAACATTAACTTTGACTGCCTAAAGTAACCTCCAAATCAAATTAACCCTAATACTGAAGTTCGGACAAATCGGATTCCTGGCAGGTACACATAAGATTGTACTTAATGTCTCCATGTAATCCTTCCTGCTGAGGAACAGTCTGCTGCAGCCACCAAGCAACTTTAAATGCCCCGTCTCGCAATTCGAAAAGCTAAATTGAGTTATGCCTTCTTTCCCTGTTTATTAAATTATGTTCTTTTGTAGGGTATTTTTTCTCTTATTGTTACAAATGATAAAATCTCATAATTGTTTTACTGGTAATTACTTTACTTTAGCACATAATTGACAACAGCAGACTGAAAAGCCATTATTTCTAAATTATAGTCACGTTTTTCACAGCACAATTAACCTTTTGTGCTTACTGTTTTAATTTGAATCCTGGCGTAAGTAATTAAAACAGATTCTGATGAGAAGACATTACTAATAAGCAAAAGACATCTTTCCTGTATTTTATTACATTATACAACATTTTTTTAATTATTTACTTTCATTTCTTTCGTGACAAGAATATATATGTTTTCACACTTTTAAGGCAATGTCTGGTCTTGCAGGTTTAATCAGGTCCCGTGTGAGAGGAGCGAACTCGGCCTCCGCCTCAGTTCTCACCTTCCTGGACTCTCACTGTGAGGTCAACACTGACTGGCTGCAGCCCATGCTCCAGAGAGTCAAGGAGGTATGGCACTTTCCACGCTTATTCACACTCGGTACACCGGTTTATGTGGATTTATTTAACGTACAATAAAAAAATCTAATAGGTTACAATGGACAGCAAGGGTAAAGGCCAATTCATACCACATACTGTACATTAGACTGTATCCATAAGGGAAATCGCTTTCTCAAATACAAAAAACACTTCAAACCAGAAGAAATTATGATAAGGCTTTTCTCTGGGTGGGTTTCCTCCAGGCGCTCCACTTTCCTCACCACACAGAACATGCAGAATAGGTTCACATTTGATCACATTTTTCACATGAATCAAATGCATAGGATAATAAAGTATCAAGTTTGCATACATTTGAATTAATATGAAAACAGCTATTGTTAAAACAAAGAATTATGACTGGGAGGAGGCCCCGGGGAAGACCTAGGACACGCTGGAGGGACTATGTCTCTCAGCTGGCCTGGGAACGCCTTGGGGTCCCCCCAGACGAGCTGGAGGAAGTGTGTGTGGATAGGGAAGTCTGGGCGTCTCTGCTTAGACTGCTGCCCCCGCGACCCGGCAACGGATAAAGCGGAAGAAAATGGATGGATGGATGGATGGAGAATTATGACCAAATAGAACCATTACTGAGCCATTACTGTTCATGTAACTGAGGCATGCTTTATAATTGATGTGCAGGGGTATAACACTTTTAATTCTTTTGAGAATCACTTTAATATGTTGTGCTGTTTTGATTGTAAAGTGACGTTCTAGACTAATGTGATTGCAGACAGCTTGTTTGAGTCATCTCTGAGCAGATTCTGTTGCTGTTTTGTTATTCGCGGCTCAGTTCAGTACATTTCAATTCTGTGACTGGTGTCTCAAACTGACAAGCGGGTGTCTATTCCCGCAGGGGTGCTTGCACGCTGGGTTATTTTTGATCCAAAATCCCCATATTTTTTCACACTTTGGAAGATCCCTCTTTTAGTCGCCGCATGCTGCAAATTAAATTATACAGCCCACTGGGAGACCAAAGCCACAGCCGCACAACATTATGCATTGACAGAAAGGCTGAAGTTATTTATTGTTATGTATTTAGGCATCATTTTACATTTGATATTGTATTTATTTTTTGTTTTACACTACAAAGACCGATGGTTCGAACTTTCTCATTTTGTAGGCAGATTAAATACTCAAACCATTAGGCATCAGAAATTTCATATACAGCAGACACAAAGGAGCCTTGAAAGTTAAAGGAGGATTAGAGGATTACTTAAATCTAAAACAGAAATATATAGAAGGAAAATGTGTAAGAACAATATGAGGAAATCTTTGTGGCTGTATAGAAAGTGTCAGGATTCTGCTACTTCTGCATTCTATGTCTAAAATGAAAATGAAGGTGAGGTCTACTGAATGAGAGCCAGTTCGTAGTGAGTTTTGTGCAGTGAAAGCTCTCTCCCCATGAGCAGAGACTGGATGGACTGCGTGTTTGATAGATGATGCTCTGTGTTGCTCTCTCTTGAGTAATGGTGTTCCCCTGGCCGCTCCTCATGTTACTAATCTCTGACACCGCTCCAAACGCACAGCTGCTCCTAAATCTTCAGCCATTGCACTCATTTCTCTGGCTCTGAAGATACGAGTTGTGACGGTTTATCAGTGATCACCTCTCTCACTTACAGACTCAAACTGTGCTCTACTCCCATTTATTCTCCTGAACATCTGGAACTGTGACTTTTGTTTTCCACTGTTTACAATAAAAGCAATATGTGTGCATTTGGCCATATGAAAAGGATATGTTATTCCAAATTGGGTTTAAAAAAAATATTGTTTCAATACATAAACAAATCTTAATAACATTTGGTGGTAAATATGGAAATATTGTCTAATATCCAATGAACTAAAATACATTTTCTAGCACTAAAAGTTAAGGTAAATATTAATTTGTCTTTTGTGTTTGCTGTTCACCACAGGCTCACTTAACCCCAAGAATATAGGCATAAAGAATTATTGTTCAAATTTACAGAAATTATTTGGCTGATCTCAAGTCCAGTCATTGGCCAAAACTGCAAGACCATTGGAACCTTTAACTTTATTGCATAAACTGTGGAGCATCATCTGAGTTTCAGTAACTTTATTGCAAATACACTGTCTTTTTCCCTTTCCTCATCAGAATTCTGACCCATATATTTTCATAATAGATGTTATTAATTTAATTCAAATTGGAAATAAGTCAGTGATTGGTTAAATTGAGCAGTATTGACTTAATCATCCAATCAAAGATTTTAATTTGTCAGTAGATATTCCTTTATTTGATTTACTTTATAATCATATTGTATAAACATTGTTGCTTCTTGTCAATGCGTTGATCTGCCGTCTTGGTTTCTTGGATTCATGTCAACTTATTGTAGTAATAAGAATTACAGCCATATTTGAACAGGTTTCAATCAGAGTTCTCAAGGTTCAAGTCCCTGAAGTCTGCAGATGCGGAGTCGAGGCAGATAAAGGGTATGACTTGAGCCAGGTCATACCATATAGTATCTCTAGTATCTACTATATAGAATTATACTTTGCACTCCAGTAATTTTTGGTTTGGATTTATGAAAATTACAGAAGCTATAATTGTATATATTTGTCTTTGGATGTCTCCTTGCATGACCTTGATTTTTGTCTGAAAAGTGTAAAATCTGTCTAATTTCCCCATCCATCAAAACCCTATTAACTGGTTCCGAGGCTAATCCCTGGCATATGAATGGCTAGATTAGAGGCTGAAACAGTAATTAGTTTTACTCAGCATGGCATCAGCTTGCAGGCATGTCACAAACGTAAACAGAGATTTGTATAAAAATCCGCCAACAGTTATCACCCACAGAAGAGGCGGCTGCATCCACAAAGCCGGCAGTGTCCCTTCAAATGTCAAGAGCTCCATCTGTGTCTGCGAATCAAAGTCCACATTCAAAACAAGATTTGGACATTCACAATACGCAATGGTTTGTTGAGGCTGTCGGTTGTAAGACTTGAGAAATCGGTTTCCTCACAAAAACGACCCAATAAGAAAATACTTCCCCCTGAATCCAAATCCGGTTTTTTAGACGTATAAACTCTTACAAAAGATCTTAATGGATTTTTCTTTTTTAATTTAACCAGATGGGTTTTGCACATGGCGAACGTTTGCATTCAAGTTTTATAATTACCAAAAATACTGTATGAAAACGGAGAAGAAATCTAATCCACAAAAGCCTTTTAACGTTGATTGCGGACTTTTTTTTTTACATAAATAGCTTTCTACAGTTTACTGCACTTCCTAAATTTCTCCTGGTGCACCACATCATAGAGATCATATGCAACTAATCGATTGTTCAAACAGTTGTCAACTAATTTAGTACTCGATTAATTGCTGAAAAGACTTTATATGGCTGATAATTCTATAATGACTGAAGAATTAAGTTAAAATGTGTTTTATGTGATGTATTTTTACGTCATTGGGCATTTGCTTTTCTAGGACCCACACTCACAAACTCACACACACACACACACACACACACACACACACACACAGTTGATCGTCTCATCTCAGTATTATTCAGTCTGTTGGAGTTGTTAACGAAGCCTCCGCAGCTGATTAACAAGAGCGGAGACAGATGGAGGAGGCGTGAATTACTACTGACCCCAGTGCACATGAACGCCTCACACACAGATCTAATACAAACTAGATGAGTCACTGCTACTCAACGTCAAAAGAACGAACAGGAACATGCAGCCATTGACAACAAACAACAAATGGTCAAATCCGATGAGTGAGATGTCCGGGTGAAGACCCTGGACTGGTTTTGACACATTATTGCTTAAGCCCAGCTCTGGTCTTTTACACTGCAAAAACAATATCTAGGGGAGGTAAACCAGGGTACCATAAGCTCAAACTTGAAATAAATTGAATGAACTATGTTATAAGATCCGCTACAGTTTGGTTCACAAGTTTCTACGTGTATGTATTTCAGCCTCGGCCACTTCTTTAGATCGGCTTTTCAGATAGAATGGTGAAAAAAGAGGACCATATTCATTCAACCAGCCTCAGTCCAGAGCACCAAATAGTGACTCCCAGGTCTCTTTCTTACAAGTGTGCTCAAGATAACATATGCAATAATAACATGAAGACACCATGAGGTCTGATTTGAAAATGTTGACTCTTGATACTTCTGTTGGGATAAACAACATGTTTTATTTATGAAAAACACGCAAGTTCTCTTTATCCATGTCATTCTTGTTTACTATTTTCATAATAGGATAGAAACAACTTTGATTGTGTGTGTCCTAGTTATCCTGAAATACATACAGACCCATGGTCAGGAACATTTTGCACTCACCACAACATTTGTGTTCTATTGGCAGATCATTTTACTTTTCGTCTCTTGTCTTCAAATCAAGAAAACATGTTTATGATTCAAGTATCGGGTTTGGTTCTGGACTTCTCTTGATTTGAACTTTTTGATGGTGTTTTTGACCTGCAAATATAGTTTGAAGTGATGCTTGGTGAGAAAATTGTGAGACTGAAATGCTGGTGGGTGCATGCTGAGATCAGAAATGCTGTCGTCAACAATATATTTTTGTCCTTCAGTTGCAAACGCTTGAAGATAACAGTTCTATCTGTAATAGAAAAGACAAGCTTCCTCCTTAGTTTGGTTACAAAGTCCAAGGCCCAACTTTGTGAACCCAGTTTTCCTTTATGTCAGAGTTGGTTCCTTACCTTTATTTCTAGGTGAGGTTTGGGTCCTCAGTCTCATCTCTGCTGTTGAATGTGTGAACGCCTCATAAATGATAATAATCTGTGACAAAACATAATGCATTAGATATTACTGAAACACCTCTTGTCCAAGGGGCCATACTTGCATGTGACAAACCACATCCCGTCAGACCTCTGAAGCTGTGCAGGGCAGGGCCTGGTTAGTACAGTGATGGGAGATGGGCCACAGTGGGGTGGCTGTGGCTGTAAAGTACCAAACTGCCGTTGCGTCCTAAGGCAAAATACTTTGTCCACAAGTTGCCTAGAATGATGGGGTGTGTGTGAATAGTTGGTGGTCAATGGCATATACTGGAAGCCAAGTTTCTGTCAGTGGTTGTGGCTACAATAGTAGTTTATCATCACCTTGTATGGAGGGAAAGAAAAATAACTTGTGGAGCGACTTCATGTGTCCAGAAAAGCGCTATATAAAACGTATAAAACATAATTAGAATCATAATAGTAATGATAACATTAATTCTAGATATTATGAATCGATAGCAGTATTACTGAATGCAGATAAATACAGTATGTGACTTGTTTCTGTGCAGGACCATACCAGAGTGGTGAGCCCGATCATCGACGTCATCAGCCTGGATAACTTTGCCTACCTGGCTGCCTCTGCCGACCTGAGAGGAGGTATGTCCATCATCAACATATGATCTAATGCAGAAAAGACTCATGAAATATTACAAAACAAACTTCACACGGGAAAGCATTACATCGCCTGGAGCTGTGCCACAGGAGACTCATGGGAAAATGTAGAGTTCACTCTGCTGCATGCAGAATGCATTGTAATATCTGTTGGAATGTGATGACTTAGACGAGGAAGAGGTGCACATAAAGGTTGCAAAGAGGCAAATTTAAACAACTACATAATGTGAATAAAAGACAGATAGCCCTTGCTGTGCCTCTTGGTAAAATGGACAGGATAAACCAGAGGCGCTCAGACTTGTACCAACACGTGTGGACCACACACAGGTCTTTGTTTGGGCATCCAGTGTTTCATATTGAGGTGAATTGATCTTTTGATGCCAGGATTCGACTGGAGTCTTCATTTCAAATGGGAGCAGATTCCAATTGAACAGAAAATGGCCAGGAGCGACCCCACACAACCAATCAGGTACAGCTACTTTCAGAGGTGGCAAAAGTATTCAGGCATTAAAAGTATAGATGCTAGTACAAACGTCTACTCTGGTAAAATTAAAATGCATCTTTGCTCAATTATAGATGGAAAGTTATATTTATACTCGTTATGCTTTAAGTATCTAGTGAAAAATGCATAAACAATCATTATCATTGTGCAAATATAGTCTGAAGTGGTGCTTAGAAGCGTGGCTAACCACAACGCACCGGAGGTTCACACATTTTGAGTAACTACCGTAATTTTTAGTAGTAAAGAGAAAATATAAAATAAATTACATACTGTATAAGAGTAAAAAATACTCACGTACCATACTCAAGTAACACCACTTTTGTCACCTATTTTATCAGTATTTATATTTCAATTATATTTGAAATGTGCTTTATGTTCATGAAAAATGTGTCTGCTTTCCCTGCCTTTGGAAACAAAATTCAAGGACAAAGATTAACTGCACTCGTCGAGCTTTCACAGAAACCATAGTAACTGAAACATTCTATTCAAATACTCTTCTATTCATGCGACAAAAATACTAAAGTTTTTCATAATTAGATTAATGTTTGTCCTTGTCTGTCTGGCAATGCAGTCATAATGCAATGTCTGCACATGTATTTATAAATATTTATAAAGCCAAAGCTTCAATAGAGCGAGAAACTGGTTGGAAATAAGAAATAAGGCAATCCACTGCAGCTAATATAAATTATATGATATTACTTTCTTTCAAGGACTCCAGTGATCGCTGGTGGAATCTTTGTGATGGACAAGAGTTGGTTCAATCACCTCGGCCAGTACGACACACACATGGACATCTGGGGAGGGGAGAACTTTGGTGAGAATCTAAAAATAAAAAGTTTTATTGGAGTTAGCATTTTGGATTTTAAGCACATATTGACCAATGCAGACAGTAAAACATTTATGCTTAGGAGTTGTGATGTGGTCATTACCAGTGAGGGTTATTGATTTGTGGTTTCTATAATATTTAGTCCTACAGAGTTGAGGTTGAAATTAATGTGTGTGAATGTTGAGCTATAGTTTGACAAGTCTTGGTATAACGGCCATTATGCAAAATTATGCATCAACATTATATTGGGTTTATGACAACAAAATGTCTCCAAAGTCTACTACAGCCCTGAAAGTTTACACCTATTGCATATTTGATACATAGCATTGATTTGTGTTGGTTTCTTTCGTCCATAATTTTAGTACAGCTTCATTTGCCTGCATAAGAGAGAAAGATTGGTTCAATAGATTTCTCAGGTTTTTACTACACAGTGATTACATTGCTGAAGCAGTAAAACTTAAAAGAAGTTCCATTTGAGGCTATTTGATATGCTTTTAGATACAATAATAATCAAGTGCCGCTCCAGTAAAAGTGTCCTTGATATCTACTGGCAGCAGGCCGTAAATCCGTCCAGGAACATCCTTCATTTTGATTTATGTGTAAAATACAGTGAAGCATGTGAGCAGTGAGGTGGTGTCGGGATTTGCAATTCACTTTGTCCCGTGTTTTGCCTTTGCCTACGACATGGACAATACTTTGAATATATTCAAAGTATTGTCCATGTATAACATAAACTTGGGATTGTCATGTTTTGTCCGTCACATTCTCTAGTTTTTTTCCCTTTCTAGAACATTTTAGATTCTAGCCTGAATATGTTGTGTGAGCGGCACGAAAAGTAGCTATAACATTGTATTTTCAGGCACAAGGTGATAATTTTAAGTGAAAGCAAATTGAAACAACATGGACATTTTTTTTTATTGAGGCTGATTACCTGGACATACTGTTAATTATTCAATGACGGGTTTACAATTTTGAATTTTGAAAATGACACTTTTTGAGAGTGGAAAATCACATGCAAGAATTCATGGAAATATATACAATATATATTACAGATATCTGGTTTCAAGATTGTTTGGATAAATCTGGTTTTACATTTGAATGAGGTTACGAGGCACTCTTCTCCTCTCCCCACTGCAATGCTGAAGTATTTGGGAATGGCCCCCCTCTCTGCACAGATAAAACTAAGACTTACTAATCTAACATTTTAGCTGACCTCACTCAATCCCCTCATTCTCATGTTTCGATAGTTAAAATGAACTTGATACCCCATACATTTTCTTGGTTTTATGATTCCACTTAAATTAAGAACCACCATAAAAACTTAGAGTGTCTTGTGTTTGTGCTCCTACCCCTTTTACCCCTTGTTAAATATAATTAAAAACAAAATGAAACACAGATTTACAGATTTATAGTTCTATTTCATGGGATATTACTGGCAGGAAGTATGGCTTTGGTGTTGTAAGCTCACACGTTTAGACACAATTTTATTCTTATTGCAGCCAAAAAATTGATTCAAAGCACAAATATCATTTCTATTTTTGGAAAGAAAATGATGTGCTGGTCTCCCCTCTCCCATCACAGAGCTGTCGTTCCGTGTATGGATGTGTGGGGGCAGCCTGGAGATCCTGCCCTGCAGCAGAGTGGGACACGTCTTCAGAAAAAGACACCCGTACGATTTCCCAGAAGGCAATGCTCTCACCTACATCAAGTGAGTCCAAAATACAACAGCATTTATGAGCTGCCAAGAGACGTAATCTGCTAATCAGCCCTCCATAAGACATCACATGAGCAGGATTAGCTGAAACACAAAGCAACAGGGATTTTTAGATCTGGATAAAAGTAGAAACTAAAAAAAAACAAGTTACAAATCAGGAATAATCAGAGATGAATCAGGTTGATTTGAGTTCGAACAGGATGATAATAATATGCCTTCAGATGTGTTGGATCTAGTCTTGGCTTCAGATGTGACCCATACATAGATTAACAGATATTGAAGTGCACACATGTAATTTGTGTCTTGTGCAGTCATAGGGATTATAATAAACAGTCCCCTCTTTGTGTTTGACAGAAACACTCGTCGAGCAGCGGAGGTGTGGATGGATGAATACAAACAGTATTATTACCAGGCCCGACCTTCAGCCCAGGGCAAAGCATACGGCAGGTTTGTACAACCATCTTTGAAAAACATACCGGTATATATTTATCTCAATTTATAATATTGGGTTAAGTTCATGAACATATTTTTTGTGCCCATTTTTGTTGTGTTTGCTCCTGATGGGCAAGTGAAATAACTAATAATAAATCTGCCTATTAAACTGAAAGGGATGTTATGTTCAAAAGCAGCTGGAAAGGGTTATAGGACAATGAAACCACTTGTGGGAATATCAATAATTAATTGAAAAGGTTTTTCTGTTCTGATAAAGTCTTGACATTTGTCCTCAGCATCACAGACCGTGTGACTCTAAGAAGGAAGTTAAACTGTAAACCTTTCCGTTGGTACATGGAGAACATCTATCCAGAACTCAGGTACACACACTGTGGAACATGTACTGATATTTCCTCTTAGAAAATGAAGCCATTCGATTTTACGTAAGAAAATCTGTAACCTCATATAGTCAAAAATATGTTTGACCTGAATCAGTAGTAATTGAGAAGCACACACTTTTCCTTTCTTTGAAACACATATGCGTTTCATTATCTTTCAAAACAATGAGAGAATAAACATGTATGATAATTGAGTGTCTCCGATAGTTATATTAATGACCTGTCGACTTGTTTCTCTACACATTTCACAACATAACCCTGGCGTCCAAACTATTGCTTTCCCTCCCAAGAAAGTAATAGTTTTTTACAAGCACTGGTCTTATTAGTCCACATTATTTGGTGCAGCTCAGTTTCACAATGGGACAGCCTGCAGATCTCTCCCATCTGGTCCTTGGTGAAACCGGAGCCTTCATTTTGCCTGTGTCGGTCCCTAGGGTCCCGGAGCAGGAGGCTGTGTCCAGTGTGCTGAGACAGGGTGGACTGTGTTTGGAGAGCAAGGGCCCAGAGGGGCTCGGCCTGGGGGAGTGTCGGGGCATCGGAGGCAACCGACCACAGGCACAGGTCAGGTCACTACAATATCGCTACGAATAAAAACACTCGATACTTGTTACTCATCTTCTTCCCCCAATTCATTTCTGGTCAAAGGGGTGGCAGTCAGGGCACCAGCCCCTCACTGATCCTCCTGCAGGTGGTGGGTCCACAAGAGGATAGCTGCTCCGTCAGTGACAGTATAGCCTTGATCTTACCAGACATCTTTCATTATCAATAATAGATCAAAATGGTTCAAAAATCGCTCAAAGAATATCATATTATGTATTGATCCTTTCTCAAATGAGTATCTGTAATCACATTTGATTTGATTACAGTTTAAATGTTGAAAATAAAATGGACACAATGTCCTTAAGATATTTGAATTGTTCCTTGCTCATACAGGAGGGTCTAAGGACAGTTATTATTCGAGACATTACAGGACATTTATGGACAATTTATTAACATTGTTGAAAACTGGTCATCCTGCTCCCTGTGGACCAATGGCTCCTATGTGTTTGTTATTAATGCTTTTCCTGTTTTCGAATTGTTTGATTCTCTTCTGTGCTGGCCAATCGACATCTTTGTAAAGTCCTCCGTGACAATTAACTGTTGTTGTGATTTCGCCAAGGGCTATACTATAATAAATTCAGTTGAATTGAATTGAGATATTTAAATCTTTTTTTGATTCATTTAGAATTAAATCTTTTTTATGTAATTTATTTTCTACGTTTTCTAGCTATTTGGTCTTGTCGACTTTATTCCACCAAAACCCCGCCTCATATGGGGGCTGAGTGGCTTTCATTATGTCCTTAACACATGACTATTTCTCAGTTTTACTATTGAAAATCTTGTTGCTGTAAATCCAAGGTAGCAATAAAATAATGAGTACTTATAAAACCTAGGTGATTTCAGACTACAACTATTTAAATTGGCTGCAGTAAAATAATTGTTTGGCCCATTGTATTGTGTTGTGGAGTAATGCAGCTTATAAAACTCTCTGCTTTTCCCTAAAATGGTTCTGTGTGTCATTCCAAGTCTTTTGATGTTGATGTGTTCTGTGCAGCGGTGGGAGTTGATCGAGCCACTGATCCGGCAGCATGACCTGTGTCTGGCCATCACCGCTTTCACCGCCGGGTCTAAGGTCAAGATGGAGCCGTGCAACTCAAAAGAGCCCAGACAGGTGAAGGGAATGATGGCAGCTTTTGTACTGCACATATTATTACAGATCAAAGGCTACTCTCAGGTGGAAGAGTAGCTGTGATTCCTGCTCCTGCAAAGTGTAAATTAGACATGTTCAAACTAAAACCCACGAGCCAATTACGGCCCTCCGTGTCATTTTTTGTGGCCCTCTGCCTTGCTTACCCAAAGTAGTCTTTGAAATCATAAACACAAGTTCAAAGTGTCATCCAGCCATCTTCAGCTCTGTCAGATGTGAATTGACATTTTGTACTTCATTTTACAGCCCAGAACAGCTCAAATCCATTCTTGGACAATTTTGGTGAACCAAATTTGCTCTCTTACAAAAAGGTTTGGACAAAATAGTCCAAAATTTGTGATAAGAGGTTTATAGGAATGTGATATGTATTTCGTCTGGACCCTCGTCCGTCTCTCTTTCAGTTACTTGCATATTTATTTAGTTTGTTGCAACAGATGTGAATGGGGAACTGTTAAAACCATAGACTGTATATATTAACGGACAGAGTCACGCCTATCTCTGCCGTTCTAACTAATGGGCCAAAAAATATGCTCTACTGGAGCTATCCAAAATGGTCCCGCCCACAAGAAAATTGTGAAAAAACGCATCTGCGCATGCGTCAGCCTGCGCAGCTCCATTCATTTGAACGAGAGACTTCAAAAATTCACAGCAAGTAAACTGGTTGAACGGAGCTTTGGGCCAAGAGCCAGCTTTTGGACCATCCTGTAAAGACGTTTTCGAGAGGTCTGCCAATGCTATATGTTAGCATTGGCTAATTCTTCTTCTGGGTCCACCCCCATCGGCCCGGGGTGGTATTGCAAGCATGTCAGCGCACGTCATTTTGGCCACTTTTGAGCTGGGACCCGCTCCCACTGGTTAAAACCAACAGTTGGTCATAATACATTCAATTAGACCAGTGGTTCCCAAAACCTTTTGATACAAACATATTGTTGTTGTAATATTAGATCAAAATATTTCAGATTCAGAATGTTTTGATGCTTCAAATGTCTATTTTACTCAATTGTATACATCAATGGGGATTTGCAGTTCTTTCTGTGTGCAGACACGTTTCCACTTATAATTAGAGTGCAGAGCAATTATAAGTAGCGCAGTGTCCATTGATGTTTTAGGACCCATATGGTTGGCACAATGATCAATTCAATTACATTTTTCAATTTTTGGATACCTTAGATTAGAACAACTTTACAAGTTGGTGATTCACCAACAATAGATCAGAGAATCAAACTGTTTGAACACAGGTAATGCAATAAAAACAAACACATAGGAGCCATTGGTCCATGGGGGGTGGCATAACCCATGTCCACATATTTTATTAAATGTGCAAAAATTGTGTTTGCCTCTCTTGCCCATCACCAATGAAGACTGTTGCGATGTCACCAAATGATTTGGTTCTCTGAGAAACTGAAATGTAGGTTCTACCACTATGCGTTGCAATCCAACAACACTTCTTGTTGCATTTGCATCATGCACTGTCATCTGTTCCACGCTCTCCATCACTGTTTGGATAACCACTTGCTGCTCTTGATTAGGTGTGTTTTCTGTTTGAGTAATTTGAGCGTGAAGTTCCTCCATGTTGTGTGCTGATTATGCTCATGAAGTGGATTAGGTTCCACTTAGAGTAAATTATTCATCAGAGGCCAAAACTACAGGCCCTCAGCTTCACAAGGAGTACAGCCACTGGTTTAAACACTAAAGGATTATAAGACAGATTCAGTTGGATTTTTTAACCGATATTTGCAGGCATTTTAGAGATGGTAGGTCAGAGTGAAAAAGGGTTAACCATTATGTTTATAAGCAACTATGTCTTTATTATACCAAGACTACAGTTCAGACTCATCTTGGTTTGAAGGTCTGTGGTCTAGGTCTATGTGCAGGTTTTAGCAGTTTATATGAATATAGCCAAGTCTTTTCCTTCCTGCTGTCAAAAAAACAGTTCTTTGCTACTCACTTTCTTCAATGTAATTTCTCAGTTATATGTTTTGCTTTTGTGTTATGTCAATTCTATATTTTAAAACTTCAGATAAACATATTCAGGATATAACCTGCACAGATTCTGAAAATACCGAATTAGTTGCCACGTCTTTTATCTCTTTATAGATTTGATGAATGGTGGTCTCTTTACTGTTCAGTTGCACATTTGTGAGGAAGCTTTGACAGATGCTGAACAGACTGTCTATCTGTGAGTCCAAGGCAACATCAGTCAATATCGTTCCATAGTTGGATATACAATATTTATTTCCCCCAGTAAGACTCTCACAAATGAATATTCAAATCTGGAAACATGTCATGGCCTATTTCCTAATGTAATATATATAACATTTTCTACATGTAGCCAACATTTCACCAACAGCATCTTCTTCATTCTTCTCATTGTGAAAAAATCTCTAAACTTGGCCTCATGCATTTCTGAAGACACTGACGAGTGACTTCTAAAGTTAAACCATGTGTGTGTATAGACCTTTGAGAGCATTCAGGATATTCACCAGGATGTCCTATTATCTCCGCTTTGAAACTCTCTCTGGTTTGGAACTTTGCCCATTGACAAAGAAAGATATTTGATTTTTAGAGGGCTCAAGTTTGACTTTGTTGACTAAGAAAAGTGACTCCAGTGAACAGTGAATGATTAATTACTTTCCATTATGGAGGATTCATCCATTATAGAACTGTAGAAATATGCATTAGAGCGCATGGGAAAAATGCAAAGTTGTGTAAAATGTTTAATTGTAAAAAGAAGTAGTGAGCTTCGGGGGAGATAAACCTTATTTTAGATGAACAAGAAAATCCCAACACCACAGGAGACAGACTAGACAAGATTATTCCAAGTCCAGAAAAAAGATTGTGGCATATTTATAGGTTAGCCATACATATTTTGGAGGGATTTCTCTTAAGCCAGACCAGTGGGAAAAATTACAAATACACCTTTGTACTTTTTTAAGATTAATATATAAATGTAATGGTGCAATTTATTCAGCTAAATCCCTTCTTTTGAGTTGGCTGCGTTACGGTTTCCACTGTGCTTAAGCCGAGAACATGTTAGAGTAATTTTGAACTCAGTCATCATTGCTTAGTCTAACACAGACCTGCTGCCCTGCTCACAACAGCAGAATGGTAAAAAAAAAAAAAAAACATTATCTTTTAGTTAGCTGCCATTTATTTGAGTATCATTATTATTAATTATATTATGATTTATTATATTTTTTATACTATGAAGTTATTTTATCATTTCTATCATTTGAATTAACTAAGAATTATTAAACACCATAACATACTGTATTTACTGTCTGGGTTTACCACTATAACCTTGCACTGCTGAATTTAGTTTAATTTATTTCCAGGGCAAATATTTGTGATACATTCTTTTCAATGTCTATTATATTTCATTTGTTTGAACTGTAAGAAAGTGGTAAAATAACTACATAAATACATTTTTTTTAATGTTTTGCAGAAGTGGAAGCCAAAAGGTGCTGCTCTCCAGCACATGGTCAGTGGTCTGTGCTTGGACAGCCAGAGCCCCACCAGTCCCCCTGTCATCATGCAGTGTCGCCCCCAACTGGCCAGTCAGATATGGGAGCCGCAAATAATCAGCTGATCCACATATGGGATGTCCTGAGCTAGTTTGAAAAGAAGAAGGTTTCGGGATGACCTCAAAAACTGGACTAAAGCTGGACTCATAAGGAGATAATTCTGAACTTGTAGGACGCTGTACTTCTGAGATGTCAACTTCCTGCTCATCCTGCTGACAAAATACACTTAAAACATTTCAAGGCCTTGAGAAGCAAAAGGTCTAAATGTACAGTGCTTGATCCTCTTTGGGGGCTGCTGTCAGTTCCAGAGCTTTTTCACTGAACTGGTGCACATTTCACTTTTGTTTTGTTTGTCTGTCCTGTCATCATTTGAACAAGAGATGGTTGGGTTGAAAGATGGACACTGGAATCAATTGTTCCATGCATATCAGAGTATAAAGTAATGATATTGATTCACAATTAAAAAAAATATAAATATATACACTCTATATTTCTGTACTCAAGGTGGCATCTTAAATACCCTGATGAATACCCAGGTTTCTGGACTACATAGTTTTCCATTATTTTGGTTATAGCCATTGTTTATGGTAAGTACAGTTGATAAAGGTATGCGCCTAAGAGATTCAAAAGTGGAACAACTTTTCACAATTTGATTACAAAAAATTACCACCATGTACATTTGTCAAGTTGCCAAACTTCCATGCAAAATAATAGTTAAAATGGGCTTCATACTCAGCTTTTTCAGTGTCTCTGCTGCTGCTATTAACTGCATTGTAAAATACCACACATTTGCTCTTGGTCCTATTTCGCGATCCCCCAAATCAGTGCGAGTGAAGATTGCCAGCAAGTGTACTTCTCTGTAGCAAATATGTTGGGGTGCACTTGTTCTTTTGGCCTACACCTCGGGAAAGATGTGAGTGCAAGACCTGATAGTGTTTATGTAAAGCCTCAACAGTTGTTTGTATTGCTATTAGTCCTGAAGGCACCATGCAAGCACTGTCAGGACCATTATTTATTATTTTGCATGGTCAGACCCAAAGAATGTTTTTTTTTTTCTGTGTCTCTCGATTAAATATTATGTACATATTTGAAGCAGATATGGCCTGGATTTTGTGTAAACTATATATCTTGTTTGAAAAATAAAATGTGGTAATAAAGAGAGAAGTTGGACATTTATTTGATTTAAGTTGACTAGTTATTTGTTATTTGTTGATGAGTGCCTTCATCCTGCAGTGGTGCTCAAAGATGGCATTGCTCTATTTAAGAGATTGTTGATAATGCTACATAACAATGGCGTTATTAAAGTTCAGGGTCTGCTTTAGACAAAGACACAAAAAACAGACTATTTTAAGTCACAAAAGACCCAACTAACCTAACTAATTTCCTCAATCCTGTAACTCCCACTCCTAGGGCCCAGGACAACTTAAAAAAATGTGTTGCTCTAGCTGCATATGAAAACTAGATCCTGTCAGGTCCTGTCAGGTCCTGTATTATTATTAGTATTATGAATATAGCCAGTTTCAAGGTTTTGTTATTATACAAATACTTAATAATATATACTTCATAATATATAGCATGAGGAATAAACATAAAAAGTAAAACAAAATTCAATGAAATATGTTACTTACAATAAAATAACACGGTGTACAAAAAGCAACACTGTAATACAGTTAACATGCAATTAATACAGTTACTAATACGAATTAACACTAATAAATTCCAGTCAGAATAATTCAGCAGTGTTGGTCCCTGAGTGAAAATTCTATGTTAGATTATTGTTCTCCTTTTGGAATAAGATATAATCATGCTATAATGGAGTTTCATATCAATTACCTCATAAGAAATTATTCCACTTCGCAAATACTACCATATGTACATCCTGTAGTTGATAGTTTTGTTCTATGAGGATTAATCAAGAAGAGATAAAGTGGTATAGTTGATCACCACAAGAGGTCAGAATATCCTCACATTTAAGAGCCACTTCTGTGTTTTATGAGTGTGTTGACCTTGACAGCTTGATGGATGAGCGTTTGTTGTAAAGAAGTCATAAAAGAGACTGACCTACAGATAATTATGTATACAGAGTGAACAGAGGGCAATAAAGGCATAGAAAAGATGAGATAATGCGTGGTTCTGAGGGTGGCAGGGAGAGAGAGGGGAGGCAACCAGAGGCGATTAAAAAGACACACACAAAAGCAATTGTGAAAACAGGCTTGACAACTTTGTTACCTATAGTGTTGTTGGTTTAGTAACCTTTCAGGTCATAAAACATGCCACACACAGTAGAGATTAGTCCACTAGGGAACTATGCGAGGAATGCGGCTTAATGCTGATAAACTTCTGCCCTTTTTCAAAGAGTTTGGTTTCACCGCTAGGCCTGCCCCCCCCCCCCCCCCCCCCCCCTGCACACTGAGACGCATAAAACATAGCACTAACGTAATGCAAAATGTAAATACTACTGGACCCAACTAGACCAGACAAAACTGGAAATGAAAATAGACCGATTTGTATCTTCACCAGGAAACTTTTTATAACGGGAATTCGTCACCTGCTTGCCTTCAGAGAATGCTTTGTCTGGATGTTCCATGGCCTAACAAAATATAAACATTCCTTGTGGGCTCACCTCTGCACATATCTAATCTAACCTGGCCTGAGGGCGCCATCTGCTGCTCTCTGCGGCAATCGATAAAGGCCAAGCAGGTGCAGATCCTTCATCATAAAATAATTAGGTGCTAATTAAGTGCATCTCAGAATCATTATCAAAGTTTCAGAATTGTAGAACGATATTTATTGAGGTAAGCATTTACAAATAATAGTGAAAGGCCTCAACAAATTTGCATTATGGAAAAAAATAGGCATACATATTTCCAGCATTGGGCCCTATCCCCATGTATTCTCAATGAAGGGTTTCTCAAATACATGTTTTAAGGCTTATTTAATTACTTTAAGATATGTTTCACCCTCTTCAACGCGCCACATCCACATAGTTGATTTGCTGTTTGCTAGTTGTGATTTCCAAAGACATGTAAATACAGCGAAAGTCAGAGTGGATCGCGTCGAAACCGACCTGACCTGCCCATCCGTCATTCACCGCGGCGCCCTGCTCTCTCCCCACGCTTTGGGCCAATGGGAATCGGCTTCAGGTCTCTGGGGGCGGTGCGTTGCTACGGAGGAAGTTTGGTTGATTCTGCAGCGGAGCCACACAGCACAGCAGCAGCGGTGAAGGCAGCGAGTGGACTGTCGTTTTACCCCATCATCAGCGCCTCGTTCTGTGGATATTGGATTTTTTGCGGTCATCTCGGGTCCTCCGCAGGATACATTACGGACTGAACCTGGACTGATCTGGGTCTTCGAGGGTGAGTTTGGCAGCGCTGTGTTTTGATAATTAGCTCGTTAGCTTCGCCAGGCTAATGCGCTAGCCTCAGTGCACAAGCTCACGCACACAGCCACTGTACGCTTCCCTTCACGGCACTTAGCGACCTGAAGTCATAATTACACGGCGTTTTCCTCTCCTTGCCATGCCTTGAAAAAGTAAACTATAACAATTTGACCACTTTGATATTCTTTTTTTTTTAACTTAAAGATATTACTTATACTAGCTGCTAATGTGACCCTAGAAGCTAACCTGCAGACCTGGTTAAGTTTTAGAACCACTCTACCTATCTAAAAAATGATCATTCATGAATTATTACATGTGTTAAAGGTTGTTGAAATATCTGTAAATCATCACTCTTTTTTTCTATTCATACATGGATCATTGTTGCGTTGTGTGTTCAGATGATTACGATTTTCAACTATTTGATCTACTAGTACCATTTGGATTGTTCTCATGTTTGTGTTATTTGCAGTATATGATGTGTCAAGTTTCATTAAGATGTCATCTCACACATGTCCATTGAGTCATCCAACCACGCTCACAGCAAGGGCCATACACGCTGTGACTCACAGTTAACACATGTTTCTACAAATGTGATAAAATGCACTATATTGGCCCGTAAACCTGGCGCTAAATAAACTAACATTGTGGCGCACCATAGCTTACTTTGATTCTCATTTCAATTAGTGCAATATGACTATTTCTTTATAATGGCAGTGTATGTGAACAATATGCTTTTCCGTAGCTGTTACATGTCAAACATATAAAAAACATTATCTTTTGGGTATGTTTAATTTCCTTGAATAGCTTTATGTAGATTTTTTTTGCAATAAGAACGTTTTTATTTAAACTTGAGGGATATGTATTATGTATAATAGTGTGTTAATGTACGTTGTTGTGAGATTAACATGTGTATGACATTCACGTTTGCACCGCTTCTAATTGATATCTAAGCACAAAATCTTTCAAAACAAATAAACTTGTTTTGAACTTGAAAAGTGTATTTGCTATAGATATTGATTGGACGATGGATGCAGGTAAAATCTTTCTAACATGCATACTAGGGGTGTCACAATTTCTTTTTTTTCGTCATGGCCTAGAGCAGGGGTGTTCAAACTTTTTAGTAAGAGGGCCACTTTAGTTCATCAGACTAGTCCAGGGGCCGACATCACCAACTGAAAAACTGTCTTGACTTGGGCTGTTCTGAGCTTCAAAATGATCTATAACAGAGCTGAAGTTGGCTGAATGATAAATGTTTACCAACTCACCAGCTGCAGTAGTGGCACAATCAAAAACATGTCAGTACTGTATGTGCATATAAAATCAACACCGTACTGGGCTTGAGAACAAGGTCTATATTTGCTGAGCTGAAGTTGAATGGATGACAAAGTGAACTTAGTTTATGATCTCAAATACTACTTTGGTTTAGCATGAAAGAGGGCCACATAAAATGACACCGAGGGCCACATTTTTCCCCCGGTCTGATTTTGGACATGCCTGGCCATGAGCATCGAAATCAAAGAGAGGATCGACAATCACTGTACGCGCTTATTGCGTCTGTGCGCGCGTTCCCGGAATGCTCATGGTTAACCCGGACAATTCAAAGTGGCAGACCACTCTGAGCTCCCGGGTTTTTGCGGTAAACATAGTTGATGTGCTCTTGTGAGTAATCAAAGACTGAGGAGGTAGCCGGTAAGACTCGCTTGTTTATATAGACTTAATGTGGTGCGATCGGTGGCGTGCGCTTTGTGTGCTCTATTTGGTCACAAGTGACAGAACACCGGCTTCTGTGCCGGCTCGGACTTTGCTTCCGTGGGGTTTCCCAGCTTCGCATTGGTTCAGAATGTTAAGGGCCGTTCACACCAAATCATGCATAACATCCAGTTTCAATGCAGAGTCAATGATAGTCTATGATTTTGACGTAGTATAAATTATGCATCAATTTATATTGACTGGGTATAGCAGCAGATCTGCAGCCTCTATTCGGTGTTGGAAAACGCTAGATTTAAACATTTAATTAGCATATTGAGCCACGCTACAGTCCCTACAGTGTGCTGTAAAAAAAAAAAAAAACGAGAATCAAATTGTATCTCGGGACCCTGAAATCAAAAATCAAATCCAATCGAAAATTGTGACACGCCTAATGCACAGTTAACATTTCTGCACTTTTCTGGATTACTTTACATTAAATGCTAATCCTCAACCAAAACATTTTAAAGAGTTTTTATGTACAATTACGATTTGATATATTTCATATTTTGGTTCTTTTATACCATATAATGGTAGGTTAGTGGAGTTACCAGCGAAGAACCAAAATACTTTTATTTCTATTAAGACCAGATGAATATTCCCAAACTATGATTTGATGTATTGTACACATTATTAAATAAACAACATCTGCTTATCTTTCAAATGCAAACATAATTGAAAGCTTTTTTTAACTTTTTAACTAAAACTAACTTGGCAAATAATGCTGTGTTGGCTTTTTTTGTAGTTGAGTTTGTAATGATTACCAATGTTTAGAATGATCAGTTTAGATTATTTTTTTAAATTCTGAGCTTTGTAAGGAGAGTGGAAGTTGGTCTCAATGGCTGCTTTAGGGAGGCCGAAGACATATAAAGACACTAAGGACTGCAATTTGCCCACGGAGCAGACATGTCTGGTGGAGGTTCTACAGTATCTTTATCAGCGTTTCATAATGCAAAAACAAATCCCTTCCCATAATGCTAAAATTTCAACTTATATTTTAACCCTATATACAATTATTTATAAATACATATTTGGTGTGAATAATCAAAATAAGCTTGAAGATGAAATCTTTAGTTTTGGCACAGCTTTAACACTAATGTACAAAAACCTTCCTTGGCCTGTATAGCATAATCGTCAATATGTCTGTAAATAACATTCTTGTCATTGAGAACATTGCCCATTGTTGTCTTAAGTAAATGCTGAAAATATATTCAGTTAAGGGCTGCACGATATATCAAAACAATATTGTTATTTTGATATTGGGACGTGCGACATCCATATCAAAAAGATGCACAATAATAATAAAAATAAACAACAACAAAGCAGACAGACACATTCAACAAGAACAAAAAAGAATATGAATATATGCCTTTGTAGGTCATTAATGTTGTGCTTATGTTTTGGTATTTGTCTCTTGCGTTTCAATGCAGATTGCAATTTCAGGTGACAGACAAAAATATCGCAATAATATTGTTATCGCAATACTAAACACTCATATCGAATATCGCTCTGATTTCCAATATCATGCAGCCCTAATTCAGTTGTAACGCCTGTTTATCTCAGCCCTCATTGCTTCTAAGGCTGTGAACATAAAAACGACAGTGTAGGAGCAGCCGGGCACGTCTTTGTGATTCACTTACTGTGGTGGGTGAAACTAGTGCTGCTCTCAGCTCCCAGTGTGGAGGGAGGCCCAGTTCTTGGCAGAGATTTGGCTGTGCTAATGCAGAGAGTGTAGTGAAGCAATGTGGGCAGAATAGAGGCTGAAATGGCATAATGGGAAGTAGGAAATCAAAGGAAATCCACTTTTGAACCCTGAAAGAAACCTGTGAAGAGTTGGGAGCTCAGTGGAAGGCTGAGACAACTTGTAGAGGGTCAGATACTGAATTTAGTTTGTTTATTTCTTAGGCCTTAGAACTGAGGCAGAAGTTCAAGGACTTGTGGAGGCCTACCTCTTCTTCTTAACATTGTTATACAGTGTAATAATGTTGTAATTTCAGAATAGTATAATATAGTAGTATTTGTTTCAAACAAGACAAAAAGTTTCAAACATATTTTTTTAATGAATTACTCATTTTAAAGATCACAAACTATTTAGTATATAAATAATTTTGAGCGATATAATTTTTTCAACTGATTTTTATAAACATAGTGATCCTGTCTAATTTATGTAGGCTGTGTACTTTAAAGGTCTGCACTTGTCCATCCATTAGTCCCAATAGAATAATTGCATTTATAACTTGAAATGAAAATCTTTCTGTCGATCCTTCATCTTGCTTCCTAGCTGCATCTTAGTTTTACATGTTTATTGAACGGCAACATGTGAACACAACAATCGAGAAAGCAGAGGGTCAGTTTCACACAAGCAGAACATGAATCGATGAAAGGCGACAGTCGCAGCAGATCTCTGCCATTTCCCCTTTTCTCACCAGAGAAGCAGAGGGGTCAATTGTTGGTGCCAAAGTTTGTGATTAGGTTTATTCAGCAGTTTGGGTGGTGGGAAATGCGTTGGTTGTCTTTCTCAAAATTATAATAATGTTATTGTGCGGTGTCATGTTGTGAAAGTGAAAAAGGATAAACATATAAAATTGTATCTGCACTCTTACTCCCTCAGCATTTTGCACAGAATAAGTGTGTCTGTAGTATTTCAAGTAGATAATGCTGGTTCCCTGTGTCTTTCAAGCCACAGGGAACCAGCCTGTAAAGGCTGAACTCCTGCAGAGACAGTTTTTTGACCCGGTTTCATTGGTCCCTAAAATAGGCCCTGGGCACTCTTGATTCTGAGCTGTGCAGGACTTTAAAACTGTTCGTAGTAAATAGAGCCTTAACCCAGTACATGTACACAAATCCAGCACTCAAGTTTCACAACACATGCCAGTGTTTACACAGAATCAAGGCTAAAAAGCTCCTCTCGTGTTTACACCACCATAGGGACAAGGGAACCATTAATACTGCATTGTTTTGTTTGTTAAGGAATAAAAAAACCTAGTAATAACAATTCAGAAGTGTATAAAATGCTGCCTTTTATATCAACTATTCATTTATTTATAAATTAATAGTCAGCAGCAACGTTTTACCTGATATTTTCCCCCAGTAACGTCATTCAAGTGATCTATCCAATATTACAGTTTGATAAATAATTTCTGACCTAGACTGGAAGCACACTTACCAATAAACGCTCTATACCCTTTATTCGATGAGGAATGCAATGAAATATATTATTTTCTTTGGTAA